TTTATTTTTATTTTTTTTTACTTTTTTAATGCATTAGTGATATTAGTAGTGATATTTTTAGTGGGATGAATCATTCTTGAAGTTTTAAATATGTCATGACCCCCTTATTAATTACCTTTTTAGATGAATGATTTGTGTCAACTTCATACTGACTCGACTTGACCCTTTAGCATGTCATGTCATAATTATGTTTATATAAAATAATAATAATAAAAATTTTAACTTGTTAAGTTCATGCGTAAAATTTATTTTATATTGTGCATTTGTAAAAAATAAAAATAAAAAATTAATTAATTAATTAATCAAACTAAGGTGAAATTTGAGCTCGATTCTAGTCCTAAAACTTAACCAATTCAATTTTGAGTTTAACTCTAGCTTGATCTAATATATATCGTTCAATAATCTTGAAATATCATATATATTCTATTAATGTAATATTTTAAACTAATCTAAAGGTTAAAAAATTTATAGATAATACAAGTTGACTCGGCTTTATTAATTAATTAAGAGCTAAATAATAACTAATTTGATAGATACTATAAAGGGAATTTAAACGGAAAATCCAAAATTAAATTTCCTATGCTGTTGAAACAGATATCTGCGGCAGATTATTATTATTATTATTGGAAATTTTTGGAAACAATAGATATTATAATTTTGATGTTGATGATGAAACAGATTAAATTTTTATCCAAAATTTATTATTATTATTATTTTGGTGTTGATGATGATTAAATTTAAATTTTGAGATTAAATTTTGATATTATAATTTAACAAAATTTTGATATTATTTTGGTGTTGATGATGATTAAATTTAAATTTTGAGATTAAATTTTGATATTATAATTTAACAAAATTTTGATATTATTTTGGTGTTGATGATGATTAAATTTAAATTTTGAGATTAAATTTTGATATTATAATTTAACAAAATTTTGATATTATTTTGGTGTTGATGATGATTAAATTTAAATTTTGAGATTAAATTTTGATATTATAATTTAACAAAATTTTGATACCTTCCTTTATTACCCTTACTCTGCCACGTGTCGAACTGTAACTGGCTTTTACAAAATATGTAGCCAACAATATCGTTCAATAGTCTTGAAATATCATATATATTCTATTAATGTAATATTTTAAACTAATCCAAAGGTTAAAAAATTTATAGATAATACAAGTTGACTCGGCTTTATTAATTAATTAAGAGCTAAATAATAACTAATTTGATAGATACTATAAAGGGAATTTAAACGGAAAATCCAAAATTAAATTTCCTATGCTGATGAAACAGATATCTGCGGCAGATTATTATTATTATTATTATTTTTGGAAATTTTTGGAAACAATAGATATTATAATTTTGATGTTGATGATGAAACAGATTAAATTTTTATCCAAAATTTATTATTATTATTATTTTGGTGTTGATGATGATTAAATTTAAATTTTGAGATTAAATTTTGATATTATAATTTAACAAAATTTTGATATTATTTTGGTGTTGATGATGATTAAATTTAAATTTTGAGATTAAACACCAGCATAGGAGATTAAATTTTTGTTAAATTATTTTGGATATCCAAAATTAAATTAAATTTAAACTATTGCTAAACTATGAATTTAATTTTTATCCAAAAAACAATATCTATTTTAAACTATTGTTTCATTTTGATATTATAATATCTATTAATTTTGGATATGCTGATAAATAATCTATTATTATTATTATTATTATTATTATTATCTATTTAAATAGATATTGTTTTATTATTAAATTTCCTATTGTTGTTGTTGATGATGAAACAGATTATTATTATTATTTTTGTGTTGCTTGTTTCAGATCTGAGTTCTCTCAAGAGAGATTTGTGAGGTGATGAGTGAAATTGCTTTGAAAACAAATATTGTTTCTCTCTCTACCATTGCAGTTTTTGTAGTGACCACTGTTGAGAAGGGTTAGAACACACACAGAGAGCCAGGGGGGAGCAAAGATTTCAACAGACAGTGGATTCAAAAAAATTGAACAGGTATCATAAAAAATTAAACAGATAAAAAAATTTTGATAGAAAAAATTAAAGAGATAGATATAAATTTGAATAGATTTTAAATAGATAGAGAGAAACCCACAGCTTTTGAACAAGGGAAAAAATTGTACAGATAGGAAAAAAATTGAACAAATATAAAATAATTTGAATAGATAGTTAAAAAATTTAAATAAATAGATATAAATTTGAACAGATAAAAAAATTTGAAAGGATAGATATGTATTTGAATAGATAGTTAACGAAAAGTCAATAGATAAATTAAGGGGTAAAATTAGAAATAAAATGTCCTTCAAAACTAACAAAAAGATTTCTCACCAAACTATTTTACAAAATGTGTACCTCTCACCAATAAAAAATATTCATTAAATCTAATATCTTATATCATTCTTAGATTGAATTTTATCACCAATTTTCTTTATTATAAATTCTCATTAACTAAAAATATAACATAATTAATATCACATAATATTTGAGAGTGATTGATAATTTTTCCCCCTCAATTATTAGGTGGAAATGAAATTTTCATTTGGCTTGTTAAGCAGGAAAGTAAGATGAGGGACTTTCATATGCTGATGGCTTGACTAGTTTATGTGTGTCCCTTTGCTTTATAGTCATTGAGATTGTCCACACTTGACATTTTCAAGTGAGTCTCCTATCATTTTTAATTATTTAATAACCTTAAAATATTATGGGATATTTTTATCAAAGGATAATTACTTGTTAGTGGAATAAGGAAAAAAATTGTTAAAACATGGAGAGTGCAAATTCTTCTATGATAGGGTGCAATTCAAATCGTGTGAGGGTGAAAGTTGTTTTGAGTTGAACCTTCCATGTTCGTGTATATTTTGTTGCATCTGTCTTACTGTAAAGTAAATCCCTTTTTTATGAATTTGAACATATTTTAAATAGATGGAGAGAAACCCACAGATTTTGAACAAATAGGGAAAAAATTGAACAGATAGAAAAAAATTTGAACAGATAGTTAAAAAATTTAAACAAACAGATATAAATTGGGAAATTTATACACAAGTTCTAATTTATAAACTTATACTCTATTAAGTTCTAACTAAGATTTTTTAGACCTTTAAGTCCTAATAAATTTTAATAATCGAAATTGCCCTTCAAATAATAATTCCTCATCATTTATGATTATTTATAAAGGAACATGATGATTTGACATTTATTTTGATTTTTAAAACTTTAAAACATCAACTTTCAAATTGAAAAAAAAAAATTATGTGTACAAAAAAAAATTGAATTATTTTTTTATGCAAAATTGAAAATTTTGTATCTATAAAGGAGCATGATGATGAAACATTGATGTGCAAAACTAGAAAGAAAGAAAGAAAAAAAAATACTTTAAAAATGAAAAACTGATAATATTCTCAGTTTTAAAACTGAAAAAAACTTATAATGTTTTCGATTTTATTGGATAGTTGAATCAAACCAATAAGTGCAAAGGCAAAAACATTTAATCTCATGTTTTATTTTTTTTTCACCAATTAGTGAAACAAGAAATGCAAAATTATTAATGTTCTTAGTTTTAAAAATTAAGAAAAATTGATAATATTCTCAGTTTTACTAAATATGATTTATTGGTTTAAAAAATCTTAAATAGAACTTGAGTTACTATAACATTTGTAAATATAGCTTTTAAATAATTAACTCTTATAAATTTGAACATATACATTTTTTTTGAATAGATAGATATGTATTTGAATATATAGTCAATGAAAAGTCAACAGATAAATTAAAGAGAAATTAGAAATAAAATGTCTTTCAAAACGAACAAAATGATTTCTCACCAAATTATTTCATAAAAAGTAGACTTCTTACTAATAAAAAATATTTACTGAACCTAATACCTTATACTTTTCTTAGATTGGATTTATCACTAATTTTTTCTATAATAAATTCTCATTAACTAAAAATATAATATAACTAATATCACATAATATTTCGAGAGTGATTGATAAGTTTTTCCCGGTCAATTACTAGGTGGAAATGGAATTTTCATTTGGCGTGTCAAGCAGGAAAGTGAGCTAGGGACTTTTATATGTTGATGGCTTGACTAGTTTAGGTGTGTCCCTTTACTTTATAGTCATTGAGATTGTCCACACTTACACTTTCAAGTGTGCCTCCTATCATTTTTAATTATTTGATAATCTCAAAATATTATGTGATATTTTTATCAAAGGGAAATTACTTGCTTGTGGAACAAGGTAAAAAATTATTAAAATATGGAGAGTGTAAATTGTTCTTTGATGGGATGCAATTCGAATGTATGAGGGTGTAAGTTGTTTTGAGTTGAACTCTTCGTGTTAGTGTATATTTTTTTGCCTCTGTCTTACTGTAAAATAATTCTTTCTTTTATGAACAACTGATGTAACAGACAAATTTTATGAATAAGATAAATGTTGATAACCCACTAGTACTATTAGTGAGAATATTAATAATCTTTTATTCACATGGAGTTTTTAAGTTTGATTTTTTATATAACAAATTGATCTCAAACAAGTAATTAATGAGTCAAACATGAATTGAGCTTGAGTAAATTTCTTTTATAGTTCTAAGTAAACAGGGCTTTTGTTACTATTGGATTTAGAAAAATAAGATATTACACAACTTTACCAACATGCAAAAGAGCTATATTTTGTATCTTCTCTACATCATAATGTATACATACGCCAACGTTACATGCTTATTAATTAAAGGCATTAATTAGATATTAGAAATAAACTAAACAATGTCAAACCCCATGTTAATATTAACAAATACCCATCTGTTTGTGTTTGTATTTTTGTTTTCTGTTTTCGAAAAAACTTTTCATTATTATTATCCGAAAACAGAAGCAAACACCCCTAAGCTTTGTTTGTTATAATTAGAAAAGAAAAGAAAAGAAAAAAAGCAATATAATAGAAGAAGTACACACAGCATTTGAAATGCTATATTGAATTACCCCATATATGGTCTCTATGTGCCCACAAGAGGGCTCTTACAATATTAGTATTCTAGAAACTAATACTAAACACACACACACATATATATATATATAGATTGTCTCCTCTCCTCATACATGATCAAAATCTCTCAGTTGGGGCAGTGTTTATTATTCAGTTGGGGGCACAGAGGTAGGATAAGGAAAGGGAATCAAGGGTTCTTGCTGCCGCTGCTGCCCGGTTTCCCCTTCCTGGGATAATGCTTAGGATTGGGTCCTGTATAATCATAATCCAACACTGTATCCACCACCAAAAGCTTCCTTGGATTCATACCCTTTACCCAAAAAAAAAAAATTAAAAAAAATACTATTATTAGCAAAACATGCAGCTTTTTCGTTCAATTTGGATATATACTCATATGAACAGAAAATTGCAAAAAAACAAAACTGTAAAAGAAATCATAGTTCATCTTGAGTTTCTTTCTCTAGTTAATCATTGTGTGATGTTACTGTCACTTTTCTTCTAACACATGGTGCATTATCAAATTATGTGATGTTAATTTTAGCCATGTTGATTTGAATTTTTTGTAATTTTGTGTATGGTTAAAAAAATTGCAACTAAAAATTTGAAAAATTATTATTCTTACCCATTGTTTTAGTTTTTTTCTTCAATTTCCCCTCTAAGATTTTATTTTTGCCCTATCGGGAAATTTACTTCTCTCAATTATCAAACAGGAAAAAAAAAAAAAAACTCGTATATGTTTCTAAATATGTTTCTAAACTCTTATATGATTCTATCCCTACCTACCTTGTGATGCAAGTACACGGGGTTGACATTGTCGTGGAGGCCTTCAGCTATGCCTAGAGCAAAATGAGAAGAAAAAAAAAATAGTTATATTAACTTCATGATATAGTAAAACAATTGGAAATGAATCAAAGGTGAGATTGAGAGCTAGTTATAGCTCACCTGAAGACAAGCAAATGATTAGGAAAAGCAAAACTGGAAGAGAGGTCTTGAACCTAAGAGCCATAGGTGACCAATTGGTACTCTTATTAGAATATCATTAGCTCTGGTTCAAGGTTGAAAGGGGTGGGAAGGGGAGAGAGGCTGCTTTTATGCATATTTTGAGTGGTAGATGGGTAAATATTCAATATAATAGTGATATTACGTGACGATATTAATAACTAGTGATGGTATCATTAACTGATGATGGGTTTCACATTGCGATAATGTAGGTTATGGGAGACAAAGAATGTTAACCTAATCCCATTTACGATATTTTATTGGCCAATAATATTACGTAAAATAATATTACTGTTACATTTAATATTTATTTGTAATGGAGAAAGTGAAGTGCCCATACGAGTTGTTGTGATGGTGCACCCCACCCAATTGGTACACAATGATGATGAGGTGCATTACCTAAGAGCCACAACCTCTTAGTCAACTATACTATATATGTATGTGTTACATCAACATAAAAGTATTAGACGTATAGATCAGCTCTCATCTGAAAGCATTGTTTGTTAGTTTAATTCAATAGTTGGCCTTATTTATTTCATTAGACTTTGACTAAAAAAATATTTTAACAATAGATGTATCTTGTACTATCTTATAAGTCTATCGTGAACGTTATCCGTAATCAATGTGAATAGCAATAACAAAGTGATAGTGTGCATGTGGACACCCTAATCAATTCCTTGCATGGCTCAAATTCTGCCATTTTCATATTGGGTTTTTGGTTACTCTCTCCTTTTTATAAGTCAACCTACTTTTCTTCTTTCCCACTAATATACAAACCTGTGGGAGATATTCTTCGTTCATTATCAATCAATTTTCTAGTACTGTAATCTCCGTTCCCTTAATTTCAGTGGCGATTAATTAGTTTCTGAGATCATGTAAGACTATCAGTAGTGCTGTGTGGAAGTGCTACTATTGTGGAAGTAATTCATATTATGTGACATTTGAAGGGTAGATGCATCATGCCACAGTGAGACCAAGCGGTAGCGGTAATTGATGGATGAGACGTTGTTTTATTAGGTGTGATTTTTTAGATCAAGTCTAAATACAACGGGTTAGCTAATGAATGAAACGTTCTCTATCACTCAAAACATGATTCATGATTTCGAGTCTAATTGCATTGCATAGTAGTGAAACTAAGGGATTGGATGAGTCGCTTTTAGCTAATGTAACAAAGATACCAATTATTGTTCCAAAAACTCTTCCTGCTTTATTTAGGATGAGTCGCTCTTATATCAGATATGATTTCTGAGTTTGAGTCTAGCTGCATTGCACAATAGGAATGAAGTGCTCTCTTATCAGACATAATTTCTAAATTCGAATCTAGCTGCATCACACAGTGGTAAGACTAATAAATAGACATAATAGATGAGTCATAGTATTAATCTTCTTGTATCCAACCATAAGGGGAATAAGAGTCCCTTCCATGGCACCATTTTGTAGACTAATTATTTCCTGTGGTCCCAAACAACTCCTTAATTGAGTGTGCCTTTGATCCTCATACTTTGGCTTTGTTCACTTAATAAATAGGGTAGAGGGACACAAAAATTGGCAGTGTGGCCTACAAATAAATCAATGTGCATAAAAACTTCTGAGGGTTGAATTTATAATGGTGGGATTAGTGGGAGCACTAAGCAAAAAAGGAGACAATAGAACACTAATGAACTCCGAATCACTAATTTTGTTTTAATCATTTACTAAGACAGAAAAATTAAAATAAATTAAAGACTAATTAATCTACTAAACCTTTGTATTCCATAATGGTTCTAGGCTGTCGGGAAACAAAATAACAAGGGTGATAATTCTTTGTTATGATTTTCTCATAATGATATTCTTTCTTTTTTAAAAAACAACAAGATACGTAAATAAAATACATAATTTAACTGTTCAAGTTTAAAATTGAAGTATAATGGCATTAAAATATGGTATATTGTTTTTAAGCAAATACCTTAAAAAATGAGGTTGTTTTATTTTGCTTAGACCATTAAATTATTAATGTGCAATGAAGAAATAAAAGAGAAAAATACTTTAAGAAAACCTCAATACAATAATAAAAAATAAATAAATGAGTAAATTATACTGAGTTACTCTTAACAATTACTAATGTTTCTGAAATGACAATCACCTCACATATATTTTAGTTGCTGATTACAAATTTCTCTTCCAAGTTTTAAGAGACACAAATGCCATTGGTCATCAAATCAAAAAGAGAGAAAAAAAAAAAAAAATCCTTGTAATTTACATGAAACTCAGAAAATGTCAATATAACCAATAAAATAAAATAAAAACAAGCAAACAAACGAACACATGAATGGACTTCCAATTTGCCATCTGATATGTGTGCATAGTTATTGCGCATGCATGTACTATTCTGCACATTTTTATCATTTATTATGTATTTGAATATAGAACAATTGACGTTTTTAGATTTTGTTTGGATGAAAAATTTGAAAATAGATTTTGTGAAAAAAAAAATGATAAAAAGTAAAATAAGTGACTTCTGTTTTAGTTTTTTTTTTTCTTTATTTTTTTTCTTTTTAAACAAACAAACAAACACATGAAGGGACTTCCAATTTGCCATCTGATATGTGTGCATAGTTATTGCGCATGCATGTACTATTCTGCACATTTTTATCATTTATTATGTATTTGAATATAGAACAATTGACGTTTTTAGATTTTGTTTGGATGAAAAATTTGAAAATAGATTTTGTGAAAAAAAAAATGATAAAAAGTAAAATAAGTGACTTCTGTTTTAGTTTTTTTTTTTCTTTATTTTTTTTCTTTTTCATCATAATTAATCTTCTTTTTAAAATTCTTAATCAAAAGACTTTTTAGTGGAGGGGGAGTTGTGAATGCGTGGCATAAGATTATCACTATTTGGTGGGGTGGAGAATGTAGAGAAAAGAATAAGAAAATAAGTGCACTCTGGGATGGGTAGCAGTTCAAGTCACAATTATATATATATAGCAACCATTCAATGTGCTACTTTCTTTTCAATTCCTTTTGCTCATTATTATTATTATTTTTTCTCTCTCTCACACATGCATTGTATGTGAAGTATTCTTGGGTGCAGATAGGATACATCTGGCATGATACCTTCAACCAATCATAAACACCATGGCCTCTTATGTTGTCTCCTCATCATCCAACACATAAATGTAACCCTCACTCTCTCAACTAATGGAAAAAGAGAAAAGTACCACATAGCACATACCCTATCTGCACTCAAAAATTTCTCATTGTATGGTTATTCTTTTGGGTAAAATATAAATATACCTATATTCATTGAATATTGATTAAAATACGATTTATCTCCAATAATTTTAGAAATTACATTCCATTTTTTAAAATTTTTAATTTCATAACAAAATTTTTTTTTTATTATCAAGTCAACTAATATTTTTTAATGATGTTGAAAATTTATTTCAATTAATAATTCAAATAATTTTATCATCGTATAGAAGAGTAAGTAAGAATTTTACTTTTTAAATTAATTTTGTTAAATAAAAAATTTAGACAACGGAGTATTTTTAATTTTTCAAACTATAGAGAGCAATCCATATTTTAAACAAACTCTAAGGATGTATCTTTTTAAATTTTTTTTTAATAATTGGATTTTTAGCTTAATTTTTGCACATTTTGACTAATTTCAAGGCCTTGAAATAAACAACCAAGTAAAATTCTAGTGATTTCTTAATATGACTCAAATTTAAAATGTTAAATTTTATTCCCTTCCATTTCTCACTCGGAAAAATTCTTAGGCGCAAAGAGGGTACAATGTGGCATGTCACATGGTGCCTTCAACCAATCACAAATATCATGGCCTCTTATGTTATTTTTCCGTCACTTAACACATAAATGAAACCTCTACTCTCTTAACTAATAAGAGAAGAGAAAGGTACTACATAGCACCTATTCTATCTGCACTCAAAAATTTCTCACTCTAGAGACATTAGGCAGGTGGCCCTCCTTCTTCCTACCTCTTCATTCTCTGTATGGAATACCACTCGCTCCAAATTTTAGATGCCTGCTGCCAAAATTCTTAGAAACACAAAAGTCTCGAGAGGTAGGCCTACCCTATCACACATTTTTTTTCGCCAATGATATATCCTCTTTGGAGAAGCTAGTGAGCAGAACTGCTATATCATCCACAACATCCTTCATGAGTTACGGTGGTATTACATACACTAATTAGTATATTAACTAGTGTACTAACATTAATTATGATATTATTATTGACCCCACTCATTAATCACATTACAAATATCAAAAAAAATTTAAATTATGCTACATCATCAAGTAATATATTAATTAGTGCATATAGTATTTCCACGAGTTATGTCTTCTGTCTAGTCAAAAAATCAGTTAGTACAAGTCCAAAGTCATTTTTTCCAACAATGTGCCCTTGTATTATCAAACCATTCTCTCCAATACTCTCCAAATCCCCAAAGCATCCTCGGGAAAATATCTTGGTTGCCCTATCTTCCATGATCGCCCCACTACAAGTTCCTTCAACTTCCTCCTTGAAAAACTTAACTCAAAACTTCCTCCAAGTTATTGTCTATCGCGAGTCGAACCACCCTCATCAAAGCAGTCAATAGAGCAATCCCTGCGTATGTCATGCAGTACAATTTCCTTCCCAAATCCATCACTAATGTCATGGACAAGCAAAATAGGAATTTTTTGCGGGGGTCAACTTAGGAAAAACAAAAAATTCATCCTGTTAGCTGGGATTCGGTTACAAAACCTAAAAGGCATGGTGGAACTTGGCATTCGCCAAGCTAGCCTTATCAATAGTGTAGCAATGGCCAAGCTAAATTAGAGACTTCCCACCAAGGAAAACTCCCGTTGGCCAAAGTTTTAATTGCCAAATTCTCTAACATACCCTCAACATCATGGAGAAGCATAGAGAAAGGGAAGGACATTTTTTAAAAGGCTCAAGAATTTCAGTTAGAAATGGAGAAAGCACCTCATTTTGGTTTTGACAATTGGACAGGCCTTGGACCACTTCGAAACCTGGTTATTGGACCCATACCATTGCATGAATACTCCTTTACGGTTAAAGATTGCTGGGCCCATAACTCATGGAACTTGGAGTGCCTTTCCACAACCCTCCCCCCTGATGTCTTGCCTACTCTCCAAGGGATCACTCTACAACGGTTCAACCCGATAAATGTTGTGTCATTTGGGACAAAACCAGTTATGGTAATTTTTCTAGGGGCTCTACTTATGCCCTCTCAAAATCGTTCCCCACCTGGATAATTGGAATTCGGTTTGGAAGGTGAACACGATCCCCTAGCATCAAATTCTTTCTTTGGTTAGCCCTCCAACACAAAATCAGTACCAAATCCTTTCTTTTCCATTGAAAAATTGGGGAGGATAACCTTTGTTCTTGGTGCAAGAACCTACCGGAATCCCCACTCCATGCCCTCAGAGGCTGCTCGAAAGCCCAAGTGTTTTGGAATGCAGTCAGCATCCCTGCTAATATGCTTCCTTCCTTTAATGGTAACCTCACAGACTGGTTAAAAGTCAACCGCCAAACGTTCCTCGTCCACCCTTCATCTGCCTTGTGGTCTATCATCTTCCCTATCTCATGTTGGCTCATCTGGAAAAATAGAAACTCTCGTGTTCAACCCTAACAACCCACATACTTTCAAACCTTCTACAGCCATCACCCATGCAATGGAATGGCAGCACCTATTTTTATTTTATTTTTTTTGGATCGGCAAATGTTAATTGTTAGTTGTTAGATTAGCACCTATGAAAGAAAATCTCCCCACCCTTGGCAAAGTACCTAAATGCTTGCACTCCTTTAATTCAATCCCCCTAAAGAGAATTGAACCCACGACCTCCTTAGAACTAAGTCCTGAAGGCATGGTGGCCAACTAGGTTAGGCCTAGGGATCATCTTGGTCATTAGGTGGTGGGATTTTGCAGAAACATTGGTGTCTCTTCAAGTGCCGCTGCTAAAATCTGGGGGTTGAGGGATAGACTTAAGTTAGCTCTTGAACGAAACATTCTACACTTAGAGATTGCAACTGATACAATTTTACTTGAACAACTTTTGACAGGTACCACCATGGTCTCACATCAGCTTTACAATCTTATTGATGATTGTATGTACCTCCTGAACTGCCTTGGAGAAGCCAATAGGTGCTGACTTGCTTGCAAACTTAGGAGTTTAGTTGAAAATTTCAAACTTTTGTCAACCTTTCTTCAGTTTGTAATCAGTTATGTGATGATGCCCGGAGTATACGTTACCCTAGGCTTGTGTAATTTCTTCTTTATCTTAATGCACCAAGTGTACCAACAAACCAAAAAAAAAAAATATTCTTAAATTTTATTGTTTCGTTCCGTCATTCATTCGAAAAAATAAGTCTCAAAATTTTAGATGGACAGGGTTTCAAAAGAAAAAAAACGAAAGGAAAAAAAATGAGAAGTAATTTACCACCCACTACTTTGTCAAAGTAGGGGTTGTTGCAGTATTATCAGAAAAGTCCACAGCAGCTTTTTAATGTAGCCATTTTTTTTTGTTTTTGTTTTTGTTTTTTTTCTTTTTTAACAAATGCTAACAAGTTAATGTTAAAATTTATATAAAAATAATGAAGAAATTAAAAGAAAGCTTCAATGGAAAGCGTTTTAAAACTGGCAAAACCATGTTCCTCATTTATTTTTTTGGGAAAACAACCGTTCAATGTTAGTTTGTAAAAACAAATTCAAATTAATGATAAAATTTATAAACTTTAATCATTAATGTTATAAACTTTTTCATAACAAAAATCACCTCTTGATGTAATGTTTTGGCCTTCTTTTTTTTTTTTCACTGTCAGCTCATTAGAGCTGCTTTAGAACTCACGTTTAGATCTCTCTATTATTACTGTGTCCATAAATCGGTAATTATTTTTAAAGAATAACACCGATAAGTAATTTTTTTTTAATTTTTTTTTAATACCTCAAAAGCACAATGAAAAGAGTAAACAAAAAATAAGATCAATGTAATGAATTTTAAACGGAAGGTTCACCAATGAAACAAACTAAAAGTTTAAAGTTACAAAGTAAGATAAAGTGATATAATAATCTACTGTAGGCTTTAAGCTGAATCACAGCCAAACATACATTCTGAATATAGCACACATCATAAACCAAACAAAGTCGGCCGAGCAATAGATTCTTGAAGATAAGATTCAAGATTTAGAGTTCGAGTCATTTCAAAAGGCCACCGACATTTGTTTGGTCGTGAACTTCAAGACCACCAGATTAGTTGGGGTGTGCACAAGCCGCTTGTGCTCAGACACACCCAATTATCAACCAAAAACACACACACATCACACTAAAATTTACCATACCCGAATTATAGTTTGTATGTCCTAATCAAATTAGAAGCTTCAACTATCAGAATCAATCTACTTGAAACAGTAATTTCAACAAGTATGGTTTCATCGTCTCAAAAGGTAAGGTGCAAATCTCACAAATGAAAACCCAAAAAGAAAAGCATAAACATTTATTTAGTGAGGTCAAAATGTGTACCGACCTACGGTGACTCCATCAACGTGAAATTGGGAAAGTTGTAATCCTTCGACTGCATACAGGGAGTGGGTGATTTCGGACTTCCACAAGGAGTTTGTCCACTAGGCTTCTTCCATTGAGATTGATCTTCATACCCAAGCTCAAACATCTCTTCCATTTCCAAGTACCTCAGGGGACTCTCAGGCTGAAACAACAAAAAACAAAAACAAGAACAAAAAAAAATAGTATATAATTGTGTTGATCTTGAATACCCGAATCATGAAAACCCAAAAAGAAAAGCATAAACATTTATGAAGTGAGATCAAAATGTGTACTGACCTTCAATTTCCCCGACAGTGGAGAGCCTAACTGCATGAAGTAATCATCTATATATATTAAGGCAAATAAATGTTAGTAGGTTTCTCAAAAGAATAAAAGAGATCAAAGATTGGTGATACAAGTATCAAATTTTGAGTACCGTTATCTAGTCCAACTGTCTTCAGAAAATAATCCATGCCAATGGCATTCCCTTGTGCCTTGATGCATTCCTGATGATCATGCAGAAATCGTTCCTCTGAAACATTACGGGGAAGAATTTGTTCTTCTGCAACAACACTCAACTTCTTATCCTGACTCTTTTTCGATGCCTGATGCACATGTGGATGTTTCCCAGAGTTTGTGAGGTCACTGAGTGCTTTCCTGCCACCAGCTTGCGCTTTCTCTGGACCCTTCGAAACATTTCTTTTTCCTCCAAAGGAAGATGTCATTTTAGAGGGACCAATAGCTCCTCCAATAGAGATCACATTCTTCGAGTTGTGCTTCTTTGATGTCTGAAGTGTGGAAGGCCTCCCCGAGTTAGATATATCATTAAGTGCCTTCCTTCCACCAAGCCCTCCATTCTTTTGTGCCTTCGAGACATTGGACTTTAGCCCAAGAGGAGCCGCTGCAGTAGACATAAAAGTTGAACCACCATGAGATCCGATCGACAGATTGGATTATAGACAATCATGGAGAGAAAATGAACAAGTGCAGTACCATCAAAGTGAACATTTAGATTCTGGTCTCGAATTAGGCCTCTGGTTTGAGTTGCCATCGATGTATTTCACCTGCAAAAACCAGTTCAATGTTCAGCAATGGGTGCTGATACATATAAGCAATCTACAAGTCAACTAAAGAACAAACTACAAACAAAAGAACGAGAACGAGTTATTCTTGATGCAATATTAGTTAACTTGAAACAGTTTATAGCAGCTACGACTTCTGCATTCTATAATGAAGTCCCAAACATTAATGAATCAGAATTGTTGTGCTTTGACCAGGGGGAAGATGAAAAATCAAAATCATTGTAGCAGAATAGGTTACAAGACCCCAAATTAATCTTCTTTTCATTAACTACTCAGGCATGATTGGTATGCAAAAAAGTCCTATCAACAGCATCAACAACAATACAATGTTTTGTATAATCCAAAAATTACCCAGGTCCAAAGAAACTTTGAAGTTAGTGACAATTATCAAGCAATTCTCAAATACTACTCAAAAATCGCATTCCTCAAAATCCCAAAAAATAGGCTAGATAAACATGCACAATTCATCTTATATTATAAATTCTTCAACAACCTGTTTGCCAATTGCATTACTCATATCCCAATGGAGTCTTAGGCTTGTCAATTATCACAGAACATATATATATATATCACTATCAAGGTTTTAAAATGTGGCATATGTAACTATATATATTCTTCAATTATCGTAATTGTATTGTTTTTTTTCCAGGAGGAGGACATCCAGCCTATTCCCCGAAATGGAGGCGACAATGGTGGTCGTTTTTGTTATTTACATTTAATCTAGTTCCAACAATTCAACCATCACTTTAAACTCCTGTTTTTGTCATGATCAGTTAAGCTAAACAAAATGAAACCCCTTTCAAAAGTAGTATCCGGTGAATGAAAGTTTCTTATTTACTAATCCCAATATCTAGATTAGGCCATTCCACAATTACTTTTAACTTCATGACTCTGTCATTATGAGTTAACTACACTAAACTGAACTCCATTCCAAAATGGATTTAGCTTCAACACATATAGCCCCTCTTCAAGGTCTATTTCCCTTAAACAATGTTTCTAATCCTAAAATCCACCACAGCAATAAACCCCTTTAGAATTTAGATTGGCGCTTTTAGTGATACCGTAACAAGCATGTTACCTTCCCAAAAAACCCTTCATATTGTTTGCTAAACCTCCTGCTTCTACAAACACAATGGAAACCATAACACAAAATCATTTAACTATTTTTCATTACAAATTCCTAAAAACCAAATAGTTTCAACACAGTTTTGTGCTTACAGAAAAAATTCATCAACTCTTTACTTGATTATTTCAATTGTCTATTCCATGAAATACCAAAACCCCACATTGCATATACAACTTTTCCATTGATGTAGACAAATTATTATTATTAATTATTAAAAGAATAAAAATCGAAGGAATCCCCTCAGTTATTTGCGTTACCCAAAAAGAAGGAAAAAGAAATAGAATATCAAAGAAATCTAGGCTTTGAATGCTTGTCTTCTCTAAAATTGTAAGCTGTGTTTGGTTAGAGGATTTGGGGAGGGATGTGGAAAGGGACGAGAAAAGGTGTGTGAAATTATATGAAATTTAAGAATATTTTATTCTCATTTCACCTATATTTGTCATTTTCCTTTCCAAATCCTTCCTCAAATCTTGTTAGAATTTACCATAACCCACTCCACCTACCACCTCCACTAACACTCACTCCACCTACCACCTCCACTATCCCTTCACCTACTACTATCTTCTCTTCTATATATAGGAGTTATATAGGAGTTGTACAAATCAATCAGATATCAATCAATCAATAATACATATATTTTTACATGGTATCAGAGCAAGGTTAAAGAACCTAGTATTTTCGCTTCACCGGCGGGCGGCAGCCTCGCCTTGGCCGCCCGCCGGACCTCTCATCTTCCAACTATTTCTGCATGCCGGATTTTCATCCATCAAAACCAACCCAGGTACCATCTTGCTTTGCACTCCCTTGAGGACCACTGCCTTCAGCCGTGATTCGACCAACACCACCTCGCTGCCGTCATCCACTTCTCCACCACCACCTGCAGCTTCATCTCCGCCGCTGACATCTCTCTCTCCCTGCACCAGCCACCGACGGACCACTGTTCGCGGAGGTGGATATTGGCAGCAGCGACTCCGCGCTGATGGTTCGAGTCACCGTGGTCCATTCTCAACCACTCCTCTCCTCAACTGCCCCTCCACACCGCTCTCCTAGAGTGGCGCCACCTCCGTCAGCGGTGTCGCGGCCACCACCGCCGCCGACGGATCTGAGGAGTCCAGCCAACTCCCTCTGAATCGTCCCGACGCCACGAGATCTAAGGTTCTCTCCCGTCTAGCCCCATTTGAAAGGGGTATTTATGAGGATTATGTGGCTAACTTTTGGTGCACCTCATCAGTACTTATAACGTGGAAAAGATTGCTCACAGTACCATCTCTGAAGCTTCTCAGTTTTGAGGCACCTATTTCTGCCTGTCTGCCATCGATGATTCAACAAATACGGGCTCCAAGCAACCAAGACTTCCTTTATGGGTTGCTCAATAGTTCTCTCTCATTCTATTTATTCTCATACCAAGTGCATGAGAAATCTATTCTGCTGCCGCTTATACCTGTTAGCCTTTTGGCCGGGGACGAGCCTTTTCTTTTCAAGTGGATGATGCATTATGCTTTGCTCTCTATGTTCCCGCTGCTGTGTCATGATTAATTGATTTTGCCTCGCGTGGGCTTGTCTACACGCACTCTTGTTCCCCACTCATATTTTTTTTTTATTTCTTTTACTTCTCCTTTTGACAAGGACACGCACCACACACTATTTTGCACACCCATCATCTTCTTTTTCCCTTAGTGGTAGGAACCGCCCAACACCTTTGAATCTCCTTTTTTTATTACTTTATTTTTTATTACTTTAACCTTCCGAAACTTTTCTTCACCTTTATCCCACACTTCATTTTATTTATTATTATTATTCTTAAAAAAAAAAAAAAAAAAAAAAAAAAAAAAAAA